TAAGCCCTGTCCAATCTCCGCCTCAATAATGCAGGGGGTCAGGAGGCTTTTGTCTAGGCACTGGAAGATGGCAGCACTAGTGGCGTTTTAATAGGGATCCCAATCATCATGGTACATCTAACTATGTTGAATGTGACCGAACTAAAAGGGAACGTCTCGGTTACGTATGTAACCCTCGTTCCCTGAAGGACGGAACGGTGACGTAGTCCCGTCGCCACTATTCCTGGACCACCACTGACTCCGGGCCGTCTGACTAAGCTGTCACTTACGTCCTGCCACTCTGGTGCTTGTTGTGCGGGACCTTCATTTTGACAGTGCTGAGAACGCCAAAGTTTGAGCACAAAGTTCTCCCATTCTTCATTTGTTTTAGTATTAATATTATTTAATATGTTATTAGATAGAACTATTAAACAAATAAAAGTAATCAACAACCATGCGGTTGATGCCCAATGTTGCTTGCTTAGCAGAAATACATAATCATGTTTCGCTTGTTCCCTACAAAGACAGGTTGGATTTTCTCCTTGGCGTAAAGGTTGAGATGTGCCAAGACTTCATTTTCCATGTTTGTGGATTAAATATATAGGCTATAAATGGTGTATACACTGCTTTTTTAAAATTAGGAATTCTGGTGTTTCGCATGCATTTGGCCAATCGATGTACAATTACGTCCCTGTTAGTTCCTATTGTGCTGTGTTTAGGGTTGGGTACCGAAACTCAGTTCCAATAGGGAACCGGTTCTGACGTAAACGGTAGTAACCAGACCAAATAAGAATAAAAACTTCGGTGCCTGATTTCGATTCCTGAGTCTATGGCATGAGGCGCACACACGCAGTCTCTCGCTGTCTCCCTCTCCCTCTCCGACGTGCGCGCAGTGCACTATACGGTTTATTAAAGCACTGTCTGATCTGTCTCGCACGCGCGCTCTTGCTCGCTCGCTCTAGATTCCGGGAGATTTTAACTAATTTACGATCATCCGGGAGCCGTTATCAATATGCGGGAGACTCCCAGAACGTCAGCTGATAGCGAGGAGATTAAACACACGTGAAATGTACACGTGAAATGTTTGGCTGTATTTCACGTGTAAAATTACGCGTCAGAATAACGATTGTCTATGGATAGGCCTATAGAAGAATCACCATTCACGCCGCCTTGACACTCACGTCGTCATATTATATTAGCGCGCGCGAAAAATGAAGCTTGTCGGCAGCGCGAGATCTTTGGCAGCGAACGCAGCGTCTCGTTCCCTATTCAGAGAACATGGGTTACACAGAGACTTTCTCTTTCATATGTTTACTCAAAGCTGCTTATAAGATTCAGTGGGAACGAAATATCAAACTGGCTAAGAGCTTAGTAAATAACAAGATAACTTACATGACTAGTTAAAGCAGACAAAACATGGGAACCTGTAGCCATGTCGATATTATATTACCCTGGTAGTAATCTCAATTAATCTCCAGTATAATTACATTGTTTGATATAATATTGTTTTATTTGATACTATGTAAATATGAACTTTTATTTTATATTGGTTTATTTATTATTACCATATGTTACTTGTATTTATATTGTATGTTAATATTGTGTCCAGTTTGGCCCTGTCAATAAAGGGGTATTATTTCTTTTTGACAAAGTGTGTGCGGTTTCGTTTTCTTAAGTACCGTTTCAAGAACCGTTTAGGCACTGGAACCGTTTAAAAAATACAGAGTAGGTACTGGTATCAGATAAAACCCAACCGATATCCAACCCTAGCTGTGTTAGACCCTACCCTGAAGTAGGAGCTAATTTAGTACATCAAAAAAGTGTTTCTACAACTAAAACAGTTCCTGCGGTGCAAACACGCTAAAAAGAGAGTTCTTCGGCCAATAGTTGGCTAGAATCTATGAAACGTTCCTCTGTTTTTTGTCATTCACACCTGCTAAATATGATCAGATTCAAAACGGATATGCACAAAAATCAGATTAACGCTCTGGGGGGCGGCAAACGCGTCGGCGCGTATTGCTAGATTTTTTTCACATAGCAGTAAAATAGACTTAAAATACTGCATCATTTTTGGTTATACAGACTTAAGAAATATGAAAAAATAAACTGTTAAATGTCTTAATTTTTATGTGTTCACTTACAATCTGTCACATGTCTGTCCTGTCTTGTGATGCACATGGGTGTTTTGTTATTTTGAGCCATGTGCTCTTGTCATTGTTGTTTGATCCCTCCCCCTTGTTATCTGATTATTGGTTTATTTGCTCCACCTGTCTGCCTCTTTACCCTCCTTTGTTTGCCTTCCTATTTAGTCTTCCTGTGTTTGCTGTCCTGTGCTCGTTTGTTGTTTGTTACATTGTTGTTGCGTGTAGTGCCGTGCCTGTCTTGCCTGCCTTGTTTTGATTTAGATTTGGTTTGTTTATTTTTCTTTTTTTTTCTTTATTAAAATACTTCTTTCACTCTGCACCTGAATCCACGGAATTATTCCCACTCCCACCATGACACAATCGAAATAAAACATTGTGCTTTTGTAAAATAAAGAAAATGAACAGTGCTTTTTGGCTCTCCATCTCCGTGAAAAGTTTTTTTGGGAGCACGTCTCTAAACTAAATGATTGTAAAGATATATAGCTCGTACCTGGGTGAAAAGTATTCGCTGAGTTTTGTTTAAGTGTGTACTTTTAAATGATCTAATTCATAATAAAAACAAATATTCTCTGTTTATGAAATCTATATGAAAAGAGAGAGATCAGCTCATTCAGCTCATTAACTTTTAATCTGATCATGCCCACGGAGAGCGTGCGCTATTCAAACGCAAATGATCTGAGGTGATCCATCCAAACGTGTCAACATCAACTCGATAAAACACATGTTGAATCAGATTACAGTAGCCTACTTTACGTCGTCTTGCGAGGCTGTGAGGTATGGAGCTAGAATTGTCTTTATTACATTCGAGAAAATAAATGATCTGAGAGAGAAAAAAAATGTTTGAGAGAAAAAGTTATCACACTGATAGCAAAAAAGCATTTCATGAGAGAAAAAAAAGTATTTGAGAGAAAGTTTTCATACCAATAGCACAAAATAGTAGGCTAATATTTGAGGTATTGAGAGAAAGTATTTTTGTCATAGAACATAAACAATATAAATTTGAAATTTTTTTAATTATTTCTGAGAAAAAAAAAATATATATCTCAAAATACTTTAGAAAAAATCTCAACTATATATTTTTTGCTATCAGTGTGAAAACTTTTTCTCTAAAATAAGTGTTTCTCTCAAAACACTTTTCTTTGCTCTCGATGCAATTTCTTGCTCTCGAATCAGGATTTTGCTTTCACTGTGAAAATTGTGTTTTGGGCGGGGCCACGTTCCTATTGGCCAGTCGGGTGAACATCGTCTTGTCTTGGGAGTCGAAATGAATCATTACACTATTGTTTTTTTTTTTGTTTTTTTTTTTTCGGTTCACCTAGATAGATGCCGCCTCTGCTTTATGGCTCGTTTCCACTGAGTGGTACGGTACGGTACAGTTCGGTTCGGTACGCAATTATTTGCGTTTCCACTGTCAAAACTTGTGAATGGTACCAAAAAGCCGAACCGTACCGTACCACTTTTTGGGTACCCTTTCGTTGGGGTACCTAGCACAGTGAAAGGGTACTAAAAGGTGGAGCTAGACTCACTGCAGAACGGTGATTGGTGGACAGAGTATAGTCACTCGCGCGTGCTACAAGGGCATTAGAAGCATACAGTTGAAATATAATTCTACTGTTATTGTGTCACGAAATGTAGTTTTAAGAGTTTTTCAGGCGAGAAAGTAGTTTTTTAAAGCTCAAATCTGTGGTTTATTTATAGATTTATGATAATTTGACTGAGATCACTGCAGGATAATCAATCCTGCAGGATAATCAATCCTTGATTGAATATAATCAAGGCTGCCAGTGCCGTCGCAGGTGGGGTGCGAGGCCCTGTGCGAACTTGAAATGCGAGGCCCTGCCCTTCGATGTGGATGCGCAATTGTGCACGAATAACAGTCACACGGGCATGGGCATTTAAAGGCCATTAAATAAGCACATTTAGTTTATTATTTGTAATGTTAAAATATTATAATGTTTTTTTTGATTTTGTAATGATTTTGACTCATTAGTCTACGTTGTGTTTTGTAGAAAGCCTTTCTTTAAAGTGAATTTCGTTTTGTATAAATCTTATTTTTTTAAATTCATCAACCAATTGCCTGGATTTTATAAATAAGAAGCAAATATATAGCAGACAATATAATCATGACATGGAGACGAGCCGGCATGAGCGCATCTCATCATAAATTAACCGAAACTATGCCTCACTCACAGACATGAGAAATATATATCTAGACTACAGAAAGCTTGCAATGAAATTTTTAAACGAAACAATTCCAAACGAAAAGAAATAGGCTACTCTCTAATTATGTTGCACATGCACATATTATGTTGAAATAACGAGATATTATGTTGAATAACATTATAAATAATCCATCTTTAAATGTTTTAATTGAATGCTGAATGTTGTGCTTATTCAAATTATTAAAATTAAAACTTTAATTGTGATAATTAAATATTAAATATTGAAGTTTTGCTCATTTAATAATAGTATTTATCCCCCTGTCAATGATCTAGCACCCCCTCAGCACCATTAAACATTATCTGGCGCTGCACGGACGTAGCTGTTCTAGTTCTATTGCATGCATAATCTCGCTGCAATACGTTTTTATCAAGTTGAATAATACAGCATAATCATGCACATCATCTCAGCTATGATGTTTTGCTATTTATTTCAGAGGGGAAAAAAATCAACTGTGCAAGAGTGGCTTTACATTAAGTCAGCTCAGTCACTTTATTTTTTGTCATCATGACAGTTTAAAGAAATAGATTAGGACACTCTTCATTCATAATATACATTAATTCATTTTACCTATACACAACTAACTATTTAAAATGACTTTAACCCTAATAAATGAGATGGACTCACCATGCGTAAATTACGCAGAAACTGATTAGCCTACGTCAGAGTCACTTTCCTTGCCTTCATGGCCGCAAACTCAGAAATAAAATCTTTATAATCCAGCTTTGATGCAATTTCCTTTTCAATGGATAGCAGGGCGAGCCCGCACAGTCTCTCCTGTGACATGGAGGTGCGCAAATAGTTTTTAATTAGTTTTAACTTTGAAAAGCTTCGCTCGCCCGATGCCACTGTTACTGGAAAAGTCAGTAGGATCCTGAGCGCAATCTCACAGTTAGGGAAAGTTCCTTCAATCCCTTTGAGATAACGAAGTGTTTGTATTGCTTTAGTTGTTCCCTTTGGGATTATCTCTTGTAGTATCCTCAACTCCTGGAAGATGTCCGCTGCATTTATATCCTCTTGAGATTCGGATGTGCTCAGAGCATCACGCAGTCTTGTGCAGTGTCTTTGAAGGTCAGTCTCATCCATTTCACGCAGTTTGGTCAGATCAAAAATAAATCCAAACACGTTACCAAACTCCTGCATTTGTTTAAAACGGGTATGGAGAGCAGTGAGGGCCTGGTCCACTATAACATTAAAATAGTCCGTTATATATACCTGCTTTGGGTCTGGAGTATATTCATTTTCATTTTCATCACATTTGCGTTTCACTCGCCGTGTTGCTTTTATTACAGGTTCAGTGTCCATATCAGAAGCTATCTCTGTTGCAGTAGCTTTTGCAGACACAAATCCAGTATTTCTGTATTTTTGCATGAAGTCAATTAATCCATCTAGCTGCGATAAGGCCACATCAAGCTGCATGTCCTTTGACTGGAGCGTCTTACTGACAGTGTTCACGGCAAACAGAATATCATACCATATCACCATAGACATGATAAATTCAAAGCTTTGCATTTCATTAGCAAGCGACTTTGCTTCACCTTAAATTTTGGGGTCGCTAGAGTGCTCTGACACTTCGAGCAAAGCATCCTTAATATCACTTGATTGATAGCGTATTGCTTTTACACTCTCTACCCGACATTCCCACCTTGTTTCAGACAGAGGTTTTACCGTGAGATCTGGGACTTTTGCTTTGAGTATTTCCCATCGTTTAGGAGAGCCTGCGAATATGGTATAAAGTCGTTGTACAATACCAAAAAATGACATTGCTTTTGGGCAGGATTTTGCCATATCTCCCAGAATTAGATTCAGGTTGTGGCAACCGCATGGCATGAAGTAAGCCCGGGGATTGAGACGCAGAATATGGGCTTGCACTCCCTGATTTTGTTCTTTCATATTCGCCCCGTTGTCGTATCCTTGGCCCCGACAGTCATTTATGCTCAGTCCAAGGGCCTCTAGTTCCGCCAAGAGTGCATTTGATAGTCCCTTTCACAAGTCAATGAAATGTTCTTCTACATTCACTTCTAATGATGTCATATTGACAAAACAAAGAATCAGCGACATTTGCTCCTGATGGCTCATATCTGGTGTGCAATCAAGAAGCACGGAGAAATATTTAACTCTCTTCGTGTCATTCACAATAGAGTTTTTGACGTTTGTGGCCATAAGAGAAATTAACTCATTTTGGATCTGAGGTCCCAGATAATGTGCATGCGTTTCCTTATTTTTTATGCGTCGGACATGTTCTTGCATAGTAGGATCAAATTTGGCAATCATCTCTATTAATCCCAAAAAGTTACCATTGTTCTCGTCATAAAGTTCGTGTTGTTTCAGCAAAGTACTCAAATGTCTCCTATCATTATTGCCATCATCATTAGCTAATTTTGGCCGACTTGTACTGTTGTTAAACAGTTTGCAACAAAAGCAAAATACAGAATCTTTTTTCTTCGAATAAACAAGCCAGTCTCTGCTAGCTTTTTCACCATTGGGCAACTTTCTTACATAGAAGTCATCGGAAAAGTGTCTTTTTTCTTGATTGACGGGGAAATCAAAGTTGGAAACCTTGACCGGGCCTTTTCCCGCAAGTAAATCTACCGTTTTGGTATCCAGATGCACGGGCCAATTGCTGGGATCGTTAAGGTCCACAACATGCGCTGATACTTCACTGTCAGACCCGGAATAATGCTCCTCATCAGGCGTCAGCGGGACCTCGTCTTCCACGGCAAACTCTGATAAATTGTAGAACAAAAACAGAGAATTGATCGTGTGGTCCAGCTCAACTGAATTGGGCACAATCCTCATTATAAAATATTTGTCAACCACAGATATTTATCCTCATCATCCCTCACCTTGGACTTCACCGTCGTCCTCAGTGCCCACGTTCCCACCCTGCTGTTGATGAAGGCCGCTAGGCTCTGCCACAGTGTCGGCGTGGGTTATGCTAGTTGTTGCCGCATCTCTGGAAGTGCTGATAAATTGATCCAGTGATCCCCTCAGTGACTTATGAAAATCTTCCTTCTTTTTGATTTTTTTCCTTTTCTCAGAACCTGATTCGTGCTTACGAAATCGGTCGCGTTCTCTTGCAGCTGACATGTTGGCTTTCCCTCGCTTAAAGCTTTCCCCCTCTCCCGTCTTCAGTTAGGACGCGTTACGTAATAACATAGCGACAACGAAAAATCTGCTTCATTTGTTGGATTTTTTTTTTATGTAACTGACAGAGACGTGATAAAAATAATAATTTAAAAAATAAATAATAATCATTAAAAAAAATAAAACAGCAGGATTGCGAGGCCCCCTAGTGGCGCGAGGCCCTGTGCGGTTGCACAGTTCGCACAGCCCTTGCGACGGCTCTGAAGACTGCACATTTGTGTGCTTTAGAATGTTTAAAAATTTATTGAAATGAAATCGAAAAGAAGCAGTGGTGTTTTATAACACATTTCGTTTTATTGCTGCCTAAATGAACATACAGAGATAACCGGAGTTGCATAGGTAGAGCGAGCAGAGTGCCGCGTTCAAGAACGCGCTGTTCCATTAACAGAATTACTGGACTCGCGTCCTCGGGATTATTCTCCTGAGTCGGACTTTGCGTTGGCTTCTTGGAAACGCCTAATGCCAGCGCTTGTTTCTAGTGACAAACATGCCGAGAAGCAAGAACAAGATCTGCAGTCTGTCATCCATTGTTGTTTACTATGTCGCTTTCTTGTTCTCGTCGCGAAAATGACGTCGATCGCTAAGTAAGGGTACTGTTGGCGGTGGAAACGCAAGCCTGATCATGGTGTACCCGACCCGTACTGTACTGTACCGTACCGTACTGTACCCCTCAGTGGAAACGAGGCATTAGTTGAGCTGGAGCTTAGATTCTCTGCCCGAACTTGAACCGACCCGGCCCGCCGATATTTTGTGTCACTATCCTCGGGCTGGGCCGGGCCTTTGATCTAGAGACGTACACTCCCAACGCAATAGAGTGCGGTGCGGGACTAGATTTGATGGTCGAGTGTGAGCGCGGGGCGGTAATGCACTCACTCTGTGTGTGCGGGTTGCGGAAGAATAAAATGATTTGCGGTACTCCGGCAAACTAGAAATATCTATGAATAAAACATATAAAAACTAAAAAAAAATTATTCATCTGTTGCAGAAAAGCAACAAGAACAACTAAAACAAAATAGGAATGATTTACAAGCCACAGTTTATTTTTATAACATGTTTGCATCGTTGAGTGATGTAGCCAATAACAGACATACAGTATGTGTTGATTTCTTGAACGCAACTGTCCATCAGAAGCGTTTACGAAAGACTCCCCTCACCGCTCAAAACTGACTATTTGTTCAGTGCTGAATACTGTGTGCTGGCAAATCCTTTAATAATAACAAACAAAGTGTGGATATTATGAAAGATTCATTGATAATAACAGAGATGTGTAAGATCGCGATGAACTGTCAGCTTTTTAGGAATTATTAAGAGAGTGCAATTTGTGTGCATCCAGTCATGTCAAACCATGCATGCAGTAGCCTGCTTGTTTTTATGTTAACAGTGGTTTGTGTGTTAATGCTTTAACCCTCTGAGGACTAAAAACGCTTCCCCGCATTTTGATTTTTCACATAGCTGCACCATAGACTTAAAATACTCCGTCATTAATGGTCATATAAATAAAATCAATACATTATTATAAACTATAGACGGTCTTCTTTTTTGTGTACACGAAAGATCTCTCTTTATGAAGCTGAAATTCTCGTCTTTTAAATATAAAGTGGGACCTTCCTTTCACCTAATTATAGTGTATGACGTGATAATGTGACCCCGCCCACTGAGAGCGTGCGCTATTCAAACGCTAAGGCAAGCCATGAAAATGCCCATATGAGCTCGATAAAACATCCAGTTTATCACAAATATAACTTTACCTTGTGCCGCTGCGCTGTGAGGAATAATACTGTCACCCTGGAGAAGTTACCTCAGTTACCTGTTTCATTTCGAGGAGGAGCACACGGATGCAGCTGATGTAAGTCATTTATTCTTAAGTGCTTTGTTCTAATCGCGCTATTGAATAGTATCTGTAAACTGCACAAAGACCCCCTATCATAGCATTTGAAATGTTCCTATTTTTGTTTTGATAGTTCCCAAAAACAGTTTAACGTGCATGCAAGGATAAAAAACACTTTATTTGTCTTATAATATGCATTTATTTTTAACTGATTTGCTGAACGACTCCCAAATGATTCGTTCGACGATTCATTTTCCCAAACACCTCCTTTGAGTGACGTGAATCTGCGGCGATTGGTCAAATGACCCAGTCAGTTGTTACCAGTCAGGTGTGACCCGGTCCCTTACTTGCGTCTCCGTCAAGAGCAAGCTTTCCCAGCGAAACTCTCATTGCGGCGGCTTTTGAGGGGCAGTGCTTATTATATAGAGCGAAGTCATATTTGGCTAAGTAGTTTAGGAGGTAATTGGCAGTTTTCAGTGAATGTCTGGTGAATATCAAAAACAAAACTAACTTTACCCCGCTTAGAAGCTGCGCGGAGTGTACACAACACACCATATAACTATTGTGCATGCTACAGATAACATAACAGCAAACATTATTAATAATACTTACAGATTGTGATTCGGAGGAGGACGAACCTGATCCATATACACTGGATACAGAGCCCTCCTTCGGGAACAACCGGCTTGTAAATCCACATTTGAATTCATTTATGTTTTTGAATGATCGTCATTAAAATGATGAGAACACAAGGTTCGGGCTATACTGTTGTGGTATCGTTGCAAATGTGAACTCTAACCACTGATTCTTCACATGCTCGTCCCTGGGCAATGAAAACAAGTGGCTGAACTGTCTTTGCAATGTAGAACACAGCGTCTTCTCGACATGATGCTATTCAGCTGAAGTATTTGAATGTGTTCTAGACCTCTGCGTGCGCAGTAACTGGGCGCGGCCGTTTCGTATCTACGTCACTACGAAACAGCGAATGACTCGTTTCAAAAACAATTCATTTCATAGACTCAGATTCGACTCTCTTTTTGAAAGACAATAACTTTATATACAGTGCACTTTCAGGTATAAATCTTTGCAGGATGTTTTCATTCCCTTAGAGCTATGGTCCACACTACATGAACAGTCATTTTCAAAAATCCATGATAGGGGCTCTTTAAATATGAATCGGGTGTGTGAACGGATGAACGCACAGATGCATAGCCTAAAGAAATAGACAGACACAGACGAAATAGATTATAAAGTTTTTACAATAAAATAGACATCAAATAAGCTTTAGTTAAGACAGCTTCTGCTCATATGTTAAATACTGCTCATATGTTAAATACAAAAATAAACCAATCAACTTGTTATCCAATGCAAGCTAATGCAATGCACATATCAAAATAATGAATCCTTAACTTTGAAATATGTATTATAAATGTAAATGGCCTACTTTAATAGCATTCACACTCCCCATCATTGATAGTGGTAAGGTCCTCCTCCAGCATTTAATATTGTCCTTTAGGTTTTCAAGCATTGTTAAATA